GGCTCACACGGGTTACAGTCGTGCGAGCTCTCGGCCTCTGCCGGCCCAAACTGCCATTGTTCGTTCAACTCTGTGAAAACTGAGCGGACGGACTGAAGTCAGTGTGCAGCGTGTGAACTTCGCTTCGCTCCATCTACACTCACACGACTCACCGCAGACACCGCATTTCACATCCGGTTAGAACGAGCGCGGTGTCGCTGTTTCAGGAACGTTAACGCTGCTAGCACACCGGCAGCTAACTCAAAGAAATCTTTTGCAGTCGAGTAAACAATTAACCGAATGAAAGGGGGCGGGACAACAGAGCGCGTTGTGAGACCCGATTGGCCAAGAGACCGATGGAGCTCCAGGTGTAAATGTGATTGGACGGAAACACGGAAGTTAAAGTCTTGGGTACATGCTGGCCTGAATGTAAGTGGTTGGAAATGAAAACTTTACCTCATATTTAAATAACAAGGAAACGACTCCTCCCACTACTGGTAATAATATAAATGATAATAAACATGTTATAAATGTCACCTGAAAGTTATAACAAACTATAATTAATGTGATTTTATACGGCGCAGTCGTATTTGTTTTACTAGATATAATTTTAATATATCTATTTGTACAAAATACAAATGTTTTTAAATTAAATTTGTACAAATCTGAAGTCCTGAAAGATTTCAAAGAAGTTAAAGTTTAAGAACTTTTTTTCCAGTGTAAATATTAAATATTCTGTTTGAAAGTGCAGTTTGGGCCATATGTGGAAAATTAAACCATTTTTGTAACTCACAGCTTTAATTCAAATAAATAAAACCCATAAATCTTCCCCGTCTCAGAGGCTCAGAAGTAGTTGGTCAGACTAACATAATTTTGAATACAAACTTTATATTTTAGTATCTGGATAAAAGTCTTTGCAATGATATTTTACTGCCTGGTGACATCACCACGTGCTGTTTCCTTACCTGAGATGCTCTGCCAGTGTCTCTCCGCCACTTGTTTCTGAGTCTCTGCCTTAAGTTTTGCATTTAATAACTAAAGCTGCTCTGTTGGGCTGAGATCAGGTCACTGACTCAGACATTGGAGACTTTCTTTGCTTTCCTTGAGAAAGTCTTGGGCTGTTTTTGCAGTTTGCTTTGGCTCATTATCTGTCTGCACTGTGACGCTCTGTCTGATCAGCTCTGCAGGATTATCTGAATGTGAGCAGAGAGGAAGCCCTGAGCTCTTCACAGCTCATCCTGCTGCTTCGATCAGCAGTCACAATCAAGACGAACAACCTTCTTCCACTGCAGCCATAGCCGAACTTTGGCTTGTGAGCTGTTTCCTCCTTCTCCAGTTTCTCTTCCCATTACTGCAAACAAGTGTTTATGTACCACTCTGCATCTATTATTAACTCCACAGCGCGTCTTTTGTCCCGTTTTCATCCCCTCATCCCTAACCAGTTGCAGCAGATGGCCTCCTGGTTCCTTCCCACTGTCACACATGATCACAGGGGGTCATATAATAATAGATTGCATTTATATAGCGCTTTACAATTCCACTATTCATTCACTCTCACATTCACAACAACAGCTACAGGTGTAGCCACAGCTGCCCTGGGGCAGACTGACAGAAGCGAGGCTGCCATAACGCGCCAATCGGCCCCTCTGGCCATCACCAGTAGGCGGTAGGTGAAGTGTCTTGCCCAAGGACACAACGACCGAGACTGTCCGAGCTGGGGCTCGAACCGGCAACCTTCCAATACAAGAAGAACCGCCAAATTCTTGAGCCACGATCGCCCTGACTGTATATCATTGTAGTTCTTTACCTTCAGTATAAAGCACCTTGAGCCAACAGCTGCTGTATAAATAAAATTGAATGTAAACCATCTTTATTTACATTCATGAAGGTGTCTCTGTGACAATAACACTCCTCCCTCCTCTGGAGTGTTAAAATGTTGTTTTTTTAACTAAAGAAAGAACTTGCGATCATCCACCTCAGCTGCCTTCTTCGGTTGTTTTTTCTGTCTGTGTGACACGTTGATTCCTTTTCAGCCTAACGAGGGCCTCCTCGACTTCCACTGACAGCTCGTTGGGTTTGGATAAAAGCGTAACTGGTTAAACTGTTTGTCAGTCAATAGGCCAATTATTGTTGAGCCTCTGACAGTGGGGACAGCGCATAGAAATGAACAGTAAATGCAGTACTTTTGTTAAACCTTGAATAAAATCAGGGAGTCTGCACGTTAGTCGCGTATTGATTTATAAATGCACTGCACTGGTGTATAAAAGTACACAAACTGTGTTCCAGTCAGAAAACTTATGGACCTACTAAATCTAACAAAACTGTCAAAATAATTAAAGTTTCTACATAAATATGATGCACTGGTAAAATCAGGCTTTTTGCTCTTAACATCACAGAATATCACAGTTACGTCTGTTCATGAACTATTTCTGAGCTTAAATGAACTCCAGTCCTCTTTATGTCATTAGACTCACCTGGCAGGTAGCGTTGAATTTACCAGAGGAAGGACAGTTCTTAGTCTGGAAGCTTTATTACTATTGATGAAAGGTAAATGACAATAACTGCATAAACCTGATCCTGGCTTTACCTGTGGGTCAAAACGTGGTTACTTACCTGAACAAAGGTCAAACTAAAGTGCTTTTGCACTCGCAGCTGGTTTAGTGACGAGAGCTCTCAGCCGTGTACATCAATCAATGTTTATTTCAATTTGCTGTTGCATCAACATATTTTCAGATCATTTTTTGTCAAGTAATTTCTATTACACTAGTATAATATCAAGAAGAACAAAAAGTGGTAGAATCCATTTAAATAAGACAAACGTTGCTGCCATCATTGAAAACCAAGTGAATGCCTCTTTAACATACTACAGTGTGAAGAACTACATCGTTCCTGTGATTTAGACAGAGCCAGAATACCAGATACAGTACCAGCAGTAACAGGTACAACATATACGAGAAAATATCCCAAGAATATACTTTATTTTTTATTTTTTTGTTTCACCTTTCACCCAAGATTGAACTGTACAGTTAATATAAAAACTGAAAACATAGAAACCGAAAACCTTCTAACAAAACACCCTGTCAGCAGAATCGGAGTTTTTTTGTCATTTTTTTGTGTATTTTGGTTTTGTGTTGTTTTTTCTGCACTTACACAAAACTCATTGACGGTACAGAGATAAGAGAGAACGACATTATTAGTTTGCTGTGTTTTAGACACCCCGTTGAACCAAATCCAGGTAGCCTGGCTGTAGGATTTCAGGTGAAGTCGGTAAAAATAAACGCGTGAAGGCCGCTCGAGCCTCAGGAATGTGTCAGCCGCCTGACAGGAAGCAGGCAAAGATGATTAGCAATGCAGATTCACGTGTTCCTCTTATTGTTTCAGGCTGTGGATGTATGTGCTGCCGTGCACGTTTCACGCGGGCGTGACGCCGCCACGATCAGCATAAAGGTCTGATGTGTGTGAGAGACGGATGCCGGTTATCCCGCGTTTGAGTTTTCAGTTCAAAATACAGACAAATACACAAGTACAAAATATCCTCCTCACTCGATGTTGTCCGTCCTCGTCGTGTGGCTACCCACTGACACGTAACACAATCACGATGTGATACACGACGACCATGTATCATGACACGTTTGTTGTTTTTAAAATACAAAAGCCTTCGTTAAAGAGGCCGTAACCATCAAATATAGGACTGCGACACAAGGATATCATAGTCACAGTCATCAAGAACGATATCGAAAGGAAGAGAAACCAAAACCGAACGAACGCCTTCATTTTTTTTTCACGCACTCGACGGCTGAACATCACTGGAAAAAACTGTCACTTCTCCCGAACCGCTTACTGACAAACAACTCCTCTTCATGTTCCCATCACGAAGACGGTGACAGTCACCACGAGTACTGCCTGTCATTATGAAAAGACGACTGCTCGGGTTGCACACCAGAATGCACCAACTGCAGAGTGAGGTGGAGAGAGATGTGAGGGTGTCGTTCACGTTGGCTGCTCTGGCTGAGGGAGGGTGTGGTTCTCTTTCTGCCTCACTCACACTTGCACACGCGACCTAACGTCGGACGAAGGCAGCGATAGACTCAAAGATCAGGGACAACTAAAACACGCCTTCATATGTTCACGGTCTCCGTTCTCTGCTGTGAGCCACAGGAAACCCGGATCAGCTCCTCCGTGGTTTTTATGGCACGTGAATATAAGTTTGTAGTATAGATATAAACACACTGACCGCAACACGCTCCCACACCCACGCCGTCTCTCGTGTTCATTTCACGGGTTTGTAAGTTGCAGCAGCTGAAAAGTGGAACTAGATTGCTGAGAGCTGAGTGTTAATACAACCGAGTTATATTTCATTTGCACTGTGCAGCCCAGAGTACGAACAACGTTTTAGCGGTGTGTGTCGACAAAGTTAACTGTGTGCGTTTGGTATATATAGTGTGTGAAGTAATATGAGCTGAGACTAGGGAGTAAAAAGAAACATTAAAAAAAGGGAAAGTAACACAACTTTTGGCTTAGTAGCAATGCAGGTATACGTTTCCCTTTTTATATATCATTTTTTGTTAATATCTCAAAAAATAGAAAGTTTTTCATAATTTGTGTTGTTGGCTTACATCATAAATAAAACGTCTTTTTATGTTTGACTCTCATGTTAAAGTAGCATGCTGCTTTTTAATATGGCAGTTGTATATTTTTAGTCATTCATTGCTGTTTCATGCATTTCTTGTTGGTTTCTTAGTTTTTGACTATCTACACAGTAAGGTCCAGAAAAACCGCGCACGCACGCACGCAC